TAGTTAATACATGAGTTTAAAGGAATTTTGTAACGTTTACGTAAAACAAGTTTTAGATTCAAAAGAAGGGATCTTGGCAATCTTGAATGACACTAATCGGAGAAATGTTAAGTAGGGATGGAACTGAATTTGTTTACATTTGGTAGTTGGTGTGGATTCCTATTGTATGAGATTGATTTTGGATAAGGAAAGCCAAGATAGATTAGTCTTAACCTGAAATTGAATTCTTTAGTATCCTACCCACTAACGTTTTTTGAAACACAAATTGTAGAAGGATTTGCGTAAGAATTTTCTTTGGGTTTTTGTAAGTAAATTTGCAATTTTAACTCGTAATGGTTTCCATGAGCTTTATTTTGTGATTAGGTTTCCATGGTATGATATTTCCATGAGCTTGATTTTTTGCTTACATAATTTTTAATTTGTAGTTGGTTTCAACTATTTTATTTGTGTTTTTATTTTGTGGAACTGAATTTCTAGTTTCCAGCCACAGATTTATGGAGGCATCGAAGAAGGGATGGAATAAATAGAGGTGCATAGAATGAGAGAGAGTGTGACAATCATAATGGTGGAGGCATAGGATCCAACAATTGTTTAATAGGAAAAAACTATCCATGATAGAGAAAGATATCTTTCCCTTCCATAAAGGTATCTTTCCATGGATAGGAGTATATCATTCCAAAAGCTATCATTCCTTCCATAAAGCTATCCTTATAAAATGCTATCCTACCATTCCATGTGATATTATTTTGTTTAAAATCACACTATGCATGTGTTCAAGCTGTTATCACCATCATTTGGAATGTGTTATGAACATAGTTAAAAGTATAAGCCCATGAACAATTTCATCAAATAAGTTTCGGATTCCATATGTTTAAAGAATTCTACGTCATGGGTTAGTTGAGACATGAGTTTAAAGAAATTTGTATTTTTTATGTAAAACAAGCTCTAGATTTAAAAGAAATGATCTTGGCAATCTAGCAATGATCTTGGCAATCTTGAATGACACTAAAAGATTGGAGAAATGTCGAGTATGGATAGAACTAACTTTGTTTTCATTTAGTAGTTGGTGTGGATTCGTACTATATGAGATCGATTTTGGATAGGGAAAGCCAAGATGGATTAGTGCTAACTCGGAACTGAATTCTTTAGTATCCTAACCACTAACGTTTTTTGAAACACAAATTGGAGAAGGATGTGCGTACGAATTTCCTTGGGTTTTTGTAAGTAGATTTGCAGTTTTAATTCGTAATGGTTTTCATGAGCTTTATTTTGTGACTAGGTTTCGATGAGCTTGATTTTGTGCTTACGTAAATTTTATTTCATAATTTGTTTCAACTATTTTATGTGTGTTTTTATTATGTGGAACTGAATTTCAAGTTTTCAGACATGGATTTGATTTAGGGAGGCTTCGGAGAAGGGATGGAAATAAATGGAGGTGCATAGGATGAGATATGATGAGAGAGAGTGGTGGTCAAAATGGAGGAGGCTAAAGCCGAGAAGAGAAAAAAAAAGTTGGGATAGGTGGGTAGGATGTGGGGTGTATAATGAAGTTAAAGAAAAAAATAAAAGATATCATCAGTAAGGGTATAAATGTTATTTAATAAAAGTCGTTTTATATTAGTTAGTAGGGGTGTTCAAAACCGGATATCCGAAAATTTCGGATAGTGGATTTAGGTATCTGAATCCAAATTCGGAGACGGATTCAGATATCTAAATAGGATATCCAAAATTCAATTTCTTTTATTATTAGACAATAACTAAACATAGATCAAGACATTTGTTAGCCAAAAAAAAGGTTGTTAATCATGTTTAACAGTTGAGAAATAGACATTAGTTACGCAAATGCCATTCTTTATCCAAAAGAAAGAAAATTACAACTTGTTTTCTTAAGATAAAGTACTTGAAAAAACTATAAGTCAGTAAATGTAATGTCAAAAAAATAAATAAATATGTAATTTTAATTTTGATATTAACAGGCATCAAATTGGCAAATGTATAAATGAAAAACAAACAAATATCTATGCTTCAAAAGCAATATAAATAATTAATAGAAATATTTTTAAATTTTCACTAATTTGAGACTCTTGAATCTCTAATTTTGAATTTCGTATTAGAAAAAAACAAAATGAGAATGCATAATGTAAATAAATAATAGAAATATTTTTTAAAATATTTGATATCCAAAATATCTGAAATTTCATAAAATAGTTATTCGTATCCGAATCCAAATAACCGGATATCCGAATTTCGGATATTCGAAAAATCGGATATCCGAAATTTCGGATCGGATTTTCGGATATTCGGATCAGATGTTTTGGATGCGGATATATTTAAACATCCCTATTTGTTAGGGACTAATCTCTTAAAAATTTGAGATTTTCATTAGGAAAAAAGTAATAATGATTGCATTTGTGACTTTTTCTGAATGTCGGGATCAATTATGTAATTTTGTTTAGAATTTCAGTTCGGTTGGAAAATTCTAATTCCTCTCGTCTCAAATATTCGCTAAACCGAACCAAGGAGACTATGGAATCGCAAGTTACCTATTCTCCAAGTTATCGACTACTTTACAAAATCAGGTCAGTCGAGATTCGAGACTCTATATCTAAACGCCGAATTGCCAAATGCGTGATCTATTAACTGATATGCTTGTCTGGGTAAAATTTAATCAACTGCTAGCATTAGTATAGTCTGTTCATCGAAATCCAACTCTTTTTGCTAGCATTAGTATCATCAAATTTTGACATCAAAAGAAATCCAATTTTCGTATATGATGGTTGAGAATCGGGATTGCTATACATTAAATTAAAGTTCTCTGATGTACTCTGTTAAGCATGTGGGGTAATCATACAACAAATATCGTCATTCTTTTAGAAACACCATCATGTCTTTTTAGTTTGTGTATTTTTCTCATGGTTCTTTATCTATTTGTGTTGTAGAAAAATCACTCAGGTCAATACATACCTAACCTTTTAGCAACTTCAAACGGCTATTGTTTGTTACGTATCCAAAATGGTAGAGGGTATCTTAGTCATTTTGATTGTTATGACTTTGACACTGCTAAGGGTTTGTGTGGTGTAAATTATATATCAGAGTAGCAAACCACTTCATATTTATAATGCTTCTTTGGGACATTTGAGTAGCCTTGTTGTTTTGGGTTAAGTTATGCTTCCAAATATATTCCCTTATGTTTTGTTTGTTACACAACGGTGGAACAAACTTTTTATGCGTTTTTCAATAATGAGGATGAGGAGGGCATTCTCGTCTTTTTTTATAGACGGAAACTCGCAAACGCTCCGACCTTGTTCTACATTTTGGGTGGGACAAAAAATTGAAATTTGTGAGGCCCATATGCAATAAATAGTAATATACTTTTGTTTATTTGTGTGTTATAGCATCATGCTTTCGTATATTTCAGTTATAACATTTTAGTTGTAGTATTTTCTTACTAAGGTAATGTGCTTTGAAAACTTTCCATTGCTATAACTGTGTAATCTCCTAAAAAGAATAAAGACTGAAAGTACAATGCTATTTTTGGATAAATTTTACAAAGTACAATGCGTTAAACAAAAAATTCGTAAGTACAATACTGTAATAGAAAGAAATGGAACTAGTAAATGAAAGTATATTAGCTCAAGCCTTGTGAGTCATGCTGAAAATCCGCCTTGTAGTGGTACTTACCTCATACTTCTGTAGCTAATAATATTGTTTGTTCGTTTCAATAAACTTCAATGAATCATGTCAATTTTTTTTTACAAATTGTATGTAATGGGCACATGAGTTGTGTATCTATATATGTGATATTGCATTTTATTTTCATGGTTGAAAAGACTTTAGAATACCTTTTCAACCCACTCTCACGTGTCAAATACAAGAAATAGCAATGCATTTTCATTTCCATTACTCATTGAATGATTTCCCTAGTGGAGAGGACACATAACTGAGGTCTCAAGTTCAAGCCTAGGCATCATCTATTATATCATTGTAGTTTTTCCTTCTATGGAAATGTCATCAAAATAAAAACAAAATTTCTTTGTTATAACTGGATAGATTTTTCAAAGTATGATGCCTGAATAAGAAAAAAGTTGAAAATACACTGTTATGATTGAGAAAATTTATCAAAGTAGAATGTCTTGGATGAGGACGTGTGTCAATAATACAATTACTGGAACTTCTTAAAATAAGAGATGGTCATTTATTGTGTTTGACATACATACATAAAAGCCCCTCTCATTTTCACTTTGTGGTTGAGTCCATCATCCTTATTGACAATTATCATACACCACTTGTAGAATCAAAGGACATTCTTTTTTTCATATTTTTTGTTACATTATACAAAACCCACTTTCATATTTCAGAAACCTCATCAATAACTTACTCCCATTTTGATAAACATACAAAGTAAATCCCCAAATCATCAACACAGTAGCAATCACCTTAATCCCATTCATCTTTTACCTAAATATAACAACCGCTAAGATCGGAATCATTGGCAATCACCTTCTTCCTCTTCTACTTGCTTTCAGAAGTTCCAACGTCAATTTTTTGTTGATGATGTGACTATCAATATGAAAAAGGAAACACATTTACAAAAAGATGTATGTGTAGCAAAACACATGTATTGTTGCCATTGGCAACAAGTAGCAACAAAACTTTTGAGACCTACAACAAATATAAGCAATTTTAAATCATTTGGTAACCCCTAAATGAATACTTTTACATAATGTGTGTTTCATTCTTAAGAAAAAAAAAAAGCAACACAAATTAACCAATACCTTCTTGTGCACTAAAAGTTTAACATAAATTCATTATAATGCAACAGTAAGGTTGGGTGGTGCTTATGTTCAAGGTGGGGTTTCGTGGCAACAATGGTGGATGACAAAGATAGCTAGACCAATATGCAAAAATCATGAGAATCATGGCAACTCAGAAATTAATCAAATCAACAGAATAGCAAATCTATAAAGTAATCAAAACAATATGATCAATTACATTATATTCCTTACATGTGTATTGATTAACTCAACAACCATTCATATTGTTTTTGTTTTCCCCCTTTTTCATAATCAAAATATACAAGTATTGTAAATGAGGATTTTTTGACCAAAAACAATTTCGGATAATCATGTAGCCTCTCTTTCTCAAGCATATCAAAGGATGACACTGGACCTTGAAGATTCCTCCCTGCCCTACATATAAAGGAAAAATAAGAAAAAAAATTAAAAGTCACATAAGCATAAAGAGATATAATACCAAATGCTATGAAAACAGATAGTTTTTTGTATTGACATAGAAAAAAAAAGTATTAAATAAAACCCAAAAATCTTTATAACAACTCAAAATAAAATACTGATTTTAGAACCCTAAATTAAGGAACTCAGGCTCTGTAATTCCTTAAGGATTAAAAGTTATGGTTGTTTAAAGTTGGACCGCTTTCCCTTACATTTCCTATGCTTTCACTCAACTATAAAATATCAGCCCCAACTACATTTTGATACCATTTTCAAGAATCCTTTACAGAGATATAATACAAAAATTGTGACACAACCAAGATATGCTTTTTATTCATGTGATGAGAGAAAGATTCGGGTGTCAAAAAGTATACCTCACATTCATCACCAATTATTGTGTCAGGCTTCCTTCGGGATAAAGCTCTAAACCACTCTTTCTTATGTTCTGAAAACACAGAGAAAGAGAAATATGTCAAATTATTATTCACACGCAACCTCTTGGACAAAGTCACTGCTGCTGATATATTTATGTCATCCAACATATCAAAAGACTTGATCAAAGAAAATCAAATATAAAATGGGTAGATTTGGATCATATAAATATGAAATCTACCTTGATAACTGGCATCTTCTCCAACGAATTCACGATGACATGGAAACAAGACAGGGTCAGACTCAAAAAAACGGCTGTTGTGTAGGATGTATTCTCCTGTTGTTAACTGAAAAGGAGAGAGATCTCCACCAATGATGTGATTCCATGATTTGTAATAAGCCAACACATCTTCTTCATCCTTGTTCTCTCCATTATCATACACAAGACTCACCCCACACTCCTTTACAAGATCATAACGCTTCTCTGTAACAGTAATAGTAACATGGTCACCAGCCTCCATCTCATTTACCCCAAACATCCAATGACTTAACACCACCCAACACTTATGACCTCGAAAAACTTTGTCCCTGTGACGTTCATATATCCACGTGAGGTTCTTTGTTTTATTACTAATTATGACCATTGACAAACGTTGAAAATCATCATGTGCTCTTCTTTGTATATCCAGAGACTTCATTGCAAGCACAAAGCAGAAGTTGAGTGCTTTAAGGTTGTTTGGGGATGATGATGATGATGATGATGATGATGATGGGATGGTAAATGACATTGATGCCCCCACGCTTCTATGCGTAAACCAACTCGGCATCTCCTCCGCGCCATACATTGTGCTGAATATTCCAAATTCGTAAAACATCTGCCAAACACAATCATGTTAATTAAATGATTATATTATAGTATTATATGTAGTCAAATAATACTATAATACCCTTTTGTTATGGAGTAAATTAGTCCAGCCCAAGCTATGTAATACCCTTTCCTCAACACCCTCCATTGGATGGATTTTGAGCACTCCTTCAATTTCATAAAACCCACTTTCAAAATTTCTCCAGGGAAACTGAAACCGGAGTGGTGACATTTCTGGATCAAATACAACTTTTTGTAGAACATTATCATCAAGATCCTTATCATCAAGCAGCCGCAACTCTCTTAGCGTACGTGGAGGATACTCGATTGATTTCAATAAATCACAGTACCTCATATCAAGTATCTCAAGCTTAGGAAGGGTTCTCACACAATTGGGCATGGAATGGATTGGATTGTTATCTAAATATAACTCCTTTAACATTGACAAACGACTGAAGTCCATGGGAAAGGATTCAGTGGACAAATTATTATTCGAAAGCGACAACTCTACTAAAGAAATAGGTAAAGGAATTGAAAAAAACTTCAAATCACTTGGTATAGCAATAGCACCTACAAAGGCGGAGGAAGAGTTTCTTGTGTTTACGCCAATGGTTTTGTTAGATTTGCACATTTCCACTGAATCCATATCCTTATGCTCGATTAGAGAATTACCGAGATTACAACCATTAAGCAACATTGTTTTAACCTTCTTTAAATTGCTTATGCTCCTTGGAAGTTTTTCAAGTTTCCTGCAGTATCTCAGATCGATGAAGACAAGTTCCACACATTGCTCAATTGATTCACTAACCTCAAGCAAACCAATGCAAAATATAACTATCAACCTCTCAAGTGCAGGGAGTTGGTCAAAGTCACCAAGACTACGAAGTTGTTCACAGAAACTAAAATCAAGAATCTTCAACGATCCAAGTAAAAGCTGAAATGGAGATAAGTTAGAATTGGAAGTGAACTTCATCAACCACACATGGATAAATAATAAATGAAGATTAAATACCTTTTTCTTCTCCTGGGGTCTTAGTGGTTTATGATAACAGATGTCGAATGATTCTATATTGCTATATGACATGTCAAGAGCAACCAGATTCTGCATAGACAAGTCTGAAGGTATAGACTTTAAAGGAAACCCATGCATACACAACCATCTTATTTCTTCTGGAAAATTATTATAAGACCCATCCATTGGCACATAATTGAGTTGTAGTAGCATCAAACTATCCATGTTACTCAATGCATCTGTGTTAATATACGATGCACGCAACTTCTCCTTCTCAAGCATCCGCATGTCAAGCGCAAGGCCTACAATATTTCCCTTACCCTAATAAGAAATATAATGCCAAAAAACGTTATATATAGAAAATAATAAATACTTTAAACACACACAATAATAACAAATATACATGGCCTCTTACCTTTTTTTGTTTTAACACTCTGAATGACTCCTCATTACACCATATTTGACTTCGCTTCCATGGTTTATCAGGTGATTCTTGATGTACTTCGTATCTTCCCATCTCTTGAACCAACTGATGCATCTTCAATTCATTATTTTGTCCTATACTAAGAAGGCATCTGTCAATAAGATTTGGGATCCCAGATCTTGTGTTTATATCACATGCCTCTAATATTGTTTCGGTAACATCTCTATCTATTCCAACAAAATAACAAGCAATATACTTGAACAAGTCTTTATCATTCTTAGATAGCAAAGAATCAAAGCTCATTTTCAAGACATTATTTATTCGCGAGTCTGTTTCTTTCTTTAGGCCTTTTATGCACCCTTCCCAATAAGCTACATCTCGATTATGTAGATAGGTGCCTAAAACTTTGAGAGCCAATGGATGTCCTTGACAATACTTCACAAGTTTATATGACACCTCTTCATAACCTGCCTTAGGATGGTTGCACATGAATGCATGAAAACAAAAAAGTTGTTGTGATTCAGTCTCATGTAAGCCTTCAAGGAAGTGTTCTACATGCTTGGGTTTAATGTTTGTTTTGAATAGTGCACAACTTTGTGTCAACCATCTGTCCTTTGTCGTTATAATAACTTTGCTTCCAGGATGAAAACCTTTGCTTCCAAGTAATGCATCCAATTGGTCAACACTAGCAATATCATCAAGAACAAGAAACACCTTTTTATGGGCTACTGCATTCTCTATCTTTGTGGTGTAAATAGAAACATCATGAACTTTAACTGAACTTGTTTTTAAAATGTCACCGCAAAGTTGTTCTTGTAAATCAAGCAGCCCATTAAACTTTCCATCACATTTCCTAGTGATATCTTCAATATAGCTACTTGTGGGGAATTCAAGACAATATAGCCCATAGAAATGTTTTGCTAACGATGTCTTCCCGATGCCTCCCATACCCGAAATAGTGAGTATGTCTGTTGTAAGTGAGGATCCATCTTCCAACCATGAAGTTATGAACTTAATGGAATAGTCCATCCCAATAAGTAGTGGTTGACCACTCCTTAAAGGTACACGTAGTCTACGATGGATGTCCTTCACAATTTCTTCAATAAACTCAGTCTCTAGCCTGAAAATTGATTTAATAAGAACTACAAACACGATCCAGAAACCTAAAAAACCAGATTTGAAGATTAATTTGTCCAAATATTCAAATCCAAAATACATCATAGCTTTATTTTTAATTAAGTTTTTCATATCAAAACAATATCATATTTGCACTTCCATGTTCTAACCATAAGCATCTAATTTGTAAGGTCATAGATATTTATGTATGATATCAAAGCTACCAACGTGTTACCAGATTTCACTAATGGGCAAACTAACTTCACTATGTTTCTACAAGACCATCAAACTTAACTATCAATGCGGTGTTGCATGTGTCTGGAAAAAAAATGCCAGTTATAGGTTATCCTCTAATACCTATAGGTAAGAGAAGTTACTTATTATAAAAATGCTATGATCTGAATGTGGCATGGTATAATTAACGGTAGATGCATTGCAAAATGTTCAAAATTTGGTTTTTAAAAGAAAACAAATTGACATAATTGAATATAGTTTATCTTAATGAATAAATAAAACATTAAATTCACAACAAACATGTCAATATTATCGTAATATAATAGGAACTTAGATTCAACTTTGTGCATCTTCTTTATCCTAATGCATAAATATATGCTTATTTGATGATATTGAAAAAAAAAACTAATTTAAATGCATAGGGAGAACATGGTATTGACATTTCATGCACTTATTCAAACAAAACTAAATGTATGTGGAAATATGAGTAAGAAAGTGGTTACCTTTCATAAACATCAATTCCTTTTAAATTAGCAACCTCTGTAAGTGCTTTATTCCATCGGTCCATTTTTTGAGCCCACTGAATTCTTTTATTTGCATTTGTCTCTGCCTCCATTGTTTGTTTATGCTTAGCCATTGCATCTCCAAAGCTACTTTGTTGCTTCCTAACATGTGTGGGCTCCACATGATAAAATATTGGGATAACAATATGGTTGGATGTCATACGCTGCTCAAGGATCAGCACCAATTCATCCAGACACCATGTTGAAGAAGCATAATTCTTGGACAAGACGATAACAGAAGCCCTAGATGCTTTGATCGCACTCTCTAATTCCGGTTTAAGATCTTCCCCAGTTTCAATCTCTTCATCATCCAAGAAGGTATTGATATTGGCATGAATGAGGGCCTTATGAAGGTGATCAGTGAAACTATGACGAGTGTCAACACCTCTAAAACTTAAAAATACATCATATCTATGACCATCAGTTGATGAACTATGACCATGAGCTGATGAACTATAACCAAAAGTTGATGAAGATGAAGATCCTTTTGAAAGTTCAGACAGCACAACCATTATGAGCTATGTGTTGATGACTCTTCACCCTTCCCACGATTTTGGGTATCTCAGTAGTAGGCTACTACTCTGAAGCTCCTCCACACGTTAGCAGTTATGATTTATGAAAGTTGGTTTCACCGGATTTCCTCACTTGTGCTTCGATGTTAGGATCCCATACGTAATGTGTCTACATAAAAGCCAAATAATCAATATTTACAACATGCAAGTTATGTCTCATCAAACAATTGACATCTCAATAATAATAATAACTCTGGATTCTTCAGAAACAAAACTTTTATGTGATTAAAATACAATACATACGCACCTCCCAACTTTTCCTAACATTATATGAACTTTATTTGTGTTAAAATGTATATTTTTATCCCTAAACTTTGACTTTTGAGTTGATTTTGTAGTCGTATACTGCATAATGTGTATGTGTGTGAATAAACTCATTCTTTTTAATTTTTGTGTTTTTAAGCCATTCTAAACACAGTTTGTGTTGCATGCAAGCTTAGGCATCTTAATCTAAACACTGGAAGAAGGAACACAACAAAAGCTGCTGCTGATGTGTTCAAAATACAAAGAGAGGCTGGTTGGTTTTCTTATTTCTAGCAGAAACAAGCTGATTATTCTCTGCAATAGCAATCTCATGGCAGTAGCAGTTATGTGAAAAGTTTCTGGATCCTTTAACCAACATATATATAGCCAAGTATTGACATTGGATTACAATTACATGCCATGGGACTTATTTTTATTTGATTAATCCACATAAACATCCCCACTATTGTCTGAATGAAATCCATTTTAAGTTAGCTGCAGGATCCACTATTGCCTCCCATGAAAGAAGTTGCAAAGATATAGCCAATTTCAAGCTTTCCCATATATTATAAAACAAATAGAAGATTTAAACAAAAAAAATTTAACAACAACCTGCTTTTTTTTAATTTAAATTTCCCTATCACTCAATCTGGCATCAGTATACATCTAAAGGATTTTGACTAACATTCATGGGTCAATTTGTTCCAAATGATGTGTTTATGAAACTAACAAGTCGTGCCCTTTCTAAGGGTTCAGTTTCAATTCAAACTCTATATCAGATGAAACTTCAAAGGTAAATCAAGCATGTAGACATCACTATGTTTCGACTTCATTGGTAAGCTAACCACTAGTTATGATAATCGAATATTAAAGCTTGTTCATTATGAATACCTTGCTAACTTGCTTAACATATTATTAGATGCAAATAACATCATTGAAAAAGAATCAAATGCAAAAATCGTGTTTATATATATATATATATATATATATATATATATATAT